TACATGAAATACTTCTATAGTACTATTGTAATCTATAGCTATTATTCTGTCATTTCTTTTTCATTGATAGGACTTCGATTATCGGAAAAACGAATGTTTCCATGTCCGGACAGGAACAAATGGTTGGAGACTCGAGACGAAATATATGAAGAGATTATGACACGCGCATGGAATCCTGAACTAAGAATGTTCTCTCAGTCGTATGAATCCCCGAACGTATTGGATTCATCATTATTAATTATGCCGTTGGTATTTTTTATAAGTCCGACTGACCCGAGATTCTTAGACACTATGAACCGAATATTACGTTCACCTGGAAAGGGTAAGATAATAAATGACAGTAATGAATGGCATCTGTCGTCGTCAAGGTTATCGAGTAGATGAATGTTCGTTGCTAACCATTGTGATTACTACGGTGGCGTAGGGGGTCTAACAGCAAATAATTTTGTATACAGATATGATACTCATGTTGTTGAAGACGGTAAGCTTGCTTCGATGGTATATTCGCATGTTGCAGCATTATCTCATTATTGTTTTCGCTGTATAAAAAAAAAAGGCGTCGGAGGACAAGAAGGTTCATTCTCGATGTGCACATTCTGGCTAATTGAAGCTCTTACTCGTGCTGGCCGATTTGACAAAGACAAGCGTGAACGCGCTGAATTCATATTCGAGCAAATGATTGGATTTGTTAACCATCTTGGATTGTATTCAGAGGAAATTGCACAATCGGGCGAGTTATTAGGAAACTTTCCACAGGCGTTTACGCATATTGCATTTATTAGTGGTAAGTCGGAGTGAGCAGTATAGGAAACAATTCCGTTAACCAGAAAAATCGAAATACGGTGTATGATGCTAAATATTCTCTATATTTTCTGTAGCCGCGTTCAACCTGGATCGTGTTCTTAATGATACGCGTCGCTGAATTACATAATTGGTATAGTAGGTAAATTATTTTTTTTAAATATGCAAAGTTTATTTCCATGGCGACTTATCTAAAACCACGTGACCAATATGTTAAAATTTTATTTATATATAATATAGGATAATGCAGAATAAATAGACAGAAAATAAATTATTCCAAATAAATATCCATGCTAGCTTGCATTGAAGAAGTCATTCTCTTTATATCAATTTTCCATTTAAGTCTCTTAATCCTGAAACGAATGAACTGTCTACTTTTATATCATTATTCTGTCGCAAGTAATCGTTATCGCCTGTGTATTACTAATAATGTAACCTAGATTAGCAGCTTATTGAATCATGGCCCAAATAGAATTTTACTGAACGAAGAATTTGTAGCGCCTACATGCCTGAAAAGAGGGAAGGTTGCGTATTGGTTGATCTTATAGGAAAAATTACTAAAGCATAGAAGTGGGGATGCAATTCTTGCCATAGCGCGAGGCTTGTATACATATTGTCCTTTCCATCGGTAGAGGTCCCATTTTTGAGAATATTTCGTACAGTTACCTTTAGAATAGAACATTTATTATTACTGTATTATGTGATTATGTACCTAAGTACAAAAATCACTCATCGATGTACTTATCGATGTATAAAAGCGCATACAATCAACTAAAAATCGACTGTCTGGCAATCAGTCAACTAGATATCAACAGCTGAGGTTTAATCAACCAGCGACCAAAACCGACAATGATTATCCCAAAGATTTACATAATTCAATTCATTCTCGTCATAATGATTATCGCCGATTTGTTCGATGGTTATGTGGTTATTAACAAGCGGAACATTTTCCTGAAATTCTCTTCTGCAAATATCGTGGTTTGATTAGGTGACGTATTCAGATGATCGTTAACTCGTTCTCTGTTCCGTTCTCGTTTGACAGAGATACCACAACACTTCTGATTAGAACTGTGCCGACATCTTCCCAAGATGCTTTGTGTGTATACTCTTTGTTTCGTTTGTCATCCAATCACAATATCTCTTTCTCATCTAATTGAGTAAAAACAAAGTTAATAGATTAACTTGTTTCCACAAGGCCCATTGTGTTAACTAAGAGTGATGAGCTTTAATATGATAAAATTGACCCATCACATCACTCTGTGAAGGAATTTCTTCTCTGCACACAGTACCCCGAGGTGTTCTGGATATTAATATGTACCGTAGAGCACTGAATATAGTACCCGGGTATATTTCAAGTTTTTGAATTGTACCCGAATTTTGTAGATCAATTCTAGAATAATCTGTAACCGTACTCGAAATCTGATTGGCGTTCGATATCTCAAATAAAAATTTGAAATCTTACGAGTATACAATTTAATAATAATGCCCACAAATTTACATAGTAGTTTCTATTAAATTGAGTTTAAAATTTACGCCTCGCTCTAGATGAGCGCAAAAGTAGCGCCCAAAGATTTACCTTGCCTGTTCGAGTCTCTTGCCAACAAATATGGTGAAAGCCAGTTAGCAAGATATGAGACTAAACAGAGTCAAAACATGGCGACGTGCAGCAGCTAGTGCTGCAGCAAAGAGTATAATTGAACTGGCTAAGTATTTCATGAACTGTCTGTATTGATTGACTTCAGAGAATTACTCTTATGTGAAATGCACTACAACGAAGACCATCGCAAAAGACATGCATTACAATCAGATTGTCGTTAACAGTCTTTCATTAAGGGACAGTCTTTCATTAAGCACGTTATTGAACGAATGACTTAATTTCTTTAGATTCGGGAGAAGCGGAAAGAAAAGAAGATCCAACAAGATGCTAACTCACTTCATTTGAAAAAGAAAGTTTTTCGATTGTGGAATCCAAGTATCCTTGTTAGGTTCAGAATACGAAACGCTTTTGAAAGGAGTGATGAGGTAGATCTTCATCAGTAACCTCTACCTGAAAGAAGCATTAAAGAAACGGGTTGGATGAACGATCCAAAAAACCATTTCAAAGTCTGTGATGGAAATTGCTAAAGGGATGATTTTATAATATCAATTAAAAACCATGAGTAATGTTTAGATAATCTTTTAGAGTGGCCTTTCAAATAGCTTAAATAGCTTGCTGAGCGAAATCCACTCGTTTGGTATGGTTATAATAAATCGAACGGTTGATATGTGATGTGATTGGTCAAGTTTACTGTATTAAAACTCATCAGAATTTATCTCTACTTCTTAGCTAACACGTGGCGCCTCGTGGAAATAAGTATGTGAAAAGAGCTACCATAACAGGGAAAAAGCGCCGAAGTTGGAATGCTTTTAGAAAAACTTGCAATCATTTTATATCAAGAGAAGGTATGTGTAACACGTGACGTACGATAAACTATTTGTACCCGGGTACATTTCAAAAACTTCACCAAAAATTCCTTAATTGTACCCGGGTCCTAATTTAGGGAGATACTATTTAAGGGGTACCCGGGATACTATATTCAGTGAGGTGTTCTGGATATGTACTTGGGATACTATATCCAGTGGTCTAGGGTAATTAGCGACACCAGGGACGGCGGATCTTCCCTTTTAAACTTGACGGCCAACCGATTTTCCTTGATCCCATTATTATCACGGTTAATATAAATTCGACTCAATGATCTCTTACTTCCCTCCTGTTCGACATGAATTCAACCAGTCGCCGCGGGTTTGTGATGGGTTTCAGGTCAAGCGCGCGTTGCAAAGAGTGGCTAATCGATTTTATTGCTATTGATGTAGAGGATATCTTCCA